ACCTGGCCATGCCGGGCCTCATTACATTAGTAATTATAGATTCTGTGGAAGTATTATCTGCCTGGGTGAAAGCTAACTTCAAGAACGTTTTACATGATTGTGAAAATCACGGAATCTTAGCTAAATTTGTTACCTTTAGTCCTAGATCAAAGTCTTTAAGAACATCCCATTTATAGCGTTATCATTTATACAGAAAAACATGACGTGAAAATAATAATTAGTTTTAGGTTGGTTTGAAAAATTTATTAAATAAGAAAATCATCCTTCAATGAAACATATAAAAATCCTGTAAATATATCAGTAACAGTTCAAATGAGGAATGGAATGAAGAAAATAATTGAAATTATAGAATATCCAGTTTGAGGACTTTGTAAAAAATAAATTTTTTAATGAACGTAGGACATGTAGAAAGGTTTAACAAGAAAATAACCTTAAAAATGGATATTTATGTCATGGTGCTGTAGCAACTGAAACTTAAGAAATAATTTGCTGGAACCATTGAGGCACATAAAATAACAAAAATAAAAACAGCCGTATGATAAAAAAAGAGGCGTCATAGTTGTGAGAGACGTTATCGGATAAATATTTGCTTATGGCTAAAGAAGAGGATATAACGTAGCTAACCCATCAGCTTCTTTGTAAAGAACGATAAAAATACTATATTTGTCTGTACATAGGTGTTGCTTAGATTCCGATAAAATAGTAGAAAATATGTCTTTCGGGTTAAAGTTTTTAGTTCCAGTATTATCAATGCTTTTCAAGGCAAATAACATTCTACTATTTTTACCAGTGCGAGTAACCTTACCATTCACTCACTTACGATGTCACGAGTGAAGTTTATCCAGCATCTGATCGTTGACACAAGAGGTCTTTGAACTATATTTTTGTAACATACTATTCATACGCTATTCCTAGTAAACAGACTGTTATTCTCATATATACATTTATATTTTAATTTCTCATTGAAATTAAGTCTTCTTCTTTTTACAAATGCTCGAAAGTGTTTCTAACGTACATAAAATACTGAAAATCTCTTTCTCTCTATATATACGGTATATCAGACATAGATTTACATTTAACTGTTAAAATAACATATTTATATCACATAATACCATTTTCATTTTTGTTAATGTTGGACATCACAACATTTGTTTCATCGATTATTTTATAAGTTGTATAATGTTACTTATAATTCTGCCATCCTAGCTGCTCAAAAATGGTATTTATTGATCTCAAGAAATAAATACGAAAAAAGTAATTACATCAAAATCAATAATTCCTAGAATGAAGAAAGAAGAACATGTTATAAGTTTCAACTTGAAGAGCTACACGAAGATGGACATATTAACCAATTTAACATTATCACCTGCCTGAAGGAAAAAAGATGGACATATTAACCAATTTAACATTATCACATGCCTGAAGGAAGAACGATTAACATATTAGCTAATTTAACATTGTCACCTTCCTGACGGAAGAAGATGAAAATATTTGTTGATTTGACATTATCACCTGCCTGAAGGAAAAAAGATGGACATATTAACCAATTTAACATTATCACATGCCTGAAGGAAGAACGATTAACATATTAGCTAATTTAACATTGTCACCTGCCCGAAAGAAGAAAGATGGACATATTAGCTAATTTAACATGATCACCTGCCTGAAGGAAGAAAGATGGACATATTAGCTAATTTAACATTATCACCTGCCCGAAAGAAGAAAGATGAACATATTAGGCGATTTAACATTATCACCTGCCTGAAGGAAAGAAGATGGAAATATTAGCTCATTTAACATCATCACCTATCTGAAAAAAGAAAGACGGACATATTAGTAAATTTAACATTATCACCTGCCTGAAGGAAAAAAGATGGACATATTAGCTAATTTAACATTAGCACCTGCCTGAAGGAAGAAAGATAGACATATTAGCTAATTAAACATTATCACCTGCCTGAAGGAAGAAAGATGGACATATTAGCTAATTTAACATTAGCACCTGCCTGAAGGAAAAAAGATGGACATATTAGCTGATTAAACATTATCACCTTCCTGAAAAAAGAAAGACGGACGTATTAGTAAATTTAACATTATCACCTGCCCGAAAGAAGAAAGGTGGACATGTTAGCTGATTAAACATTATCACCTGCCTGAAGGAAGAAAGATGGCCATATTAGGCGATTTAACATTATCACCTGCCTGAAGGAAAGAAGATAGCCACATTAGCTCATTTAACACTATCACCTTCCTGAAAAAAGAAAGACGGACGTATTAGTAAATTTAACATTATCACCTGCCTGAAAGAAGAAAGGTGGACATGTTAGCTGATTTAACATTATCACCTGTCTGAAGGAAAAAAGATGGACATATTAGCTAATTTAACATTATCACCTACCTGAAAAAAGAAAGACGGACATATTAGCTAATTAAACATTATCACCTGCCTGAAGGAAAGAAAATAGCCATATTAGCTCATTTAACATTATCACCTTCCTGAAAAAAGAAAGACGGACGTATTAGTAAATTTAACATTATCACCTGCCTGAAAGAAGAAAGGTGGACATGTTAGCTGATTAAACGTTATCACCTGTCTGAAGGAAAAAACTGACCATATTAGCTGATTTCACCTTATCATCTGCCTGAAGGACCAAAAATGGTCATATTAGGTGATTTAACATTATCACCTGCCTGAAGGAAAGAAGATGGACATATTAGCTCATTTAACATTATCACCTTCCTGAAAAAAGAAAGACGGACATATTAGTCAATTTAACATTATCACCTGCCTGAAGGAAGAAAGATGGACATATTAGGCGATTTAACATTATCATCTGCCTGAAGGAAAGAAGATGGACATACTAGTTTAACATGATCACCTGCCTGAAGGAAGAAAGATGGATATATATAGGCGATTTAACATTATTACTTGCCTGAAAGAAGGAAGATGAACATATTAGCTTGTTTAACATTAACACCTTCCTATAGAGGGGGTGGTGGTAGTCAATTTTTAAATCCAACGGTTGCTTCTAGTTATCATCATCAATAATTTTAGTTTATCGTTTAAATTTACTTTCGGTATTTATTTTTCATGATTTAAAGACTGTTACGTTTTAGAGCATATAAAACGAATACAGCTTTAAGGGCATGATTCTTTCATAACGGAAATAGTTTGTTGGTTTGTTTGAAGTTATGCACAATACTACACAATGGGCTATATGTGCTCTGCCCACCACGGGTATCGAAACCCGGTTTCTAGCGTTGTGATTCCGCAGACATACCACTGTGCCACTGGGGGCAACGGAAATAGATGAATCGATGTATCGTTTCCTGATAAATAGTGCTTTCGCGTTTCTTAAATTTTTTTTTTCGAGTACAACTGAGAAGTCAATAAAAACAAATTCATGTTCGATTTTGAAGTGAACACCTTCATTATCTATAGATCCACCAAATGCTGAGTTCAAACAGTACCTTTCTAAATCTCCACATTCGTTTATACACATATACTGTATATGTACATATGATTGGAGCCATTTAGCGGATTATGTGAGGAAAACGTTGTTGTTAACTACGGACTCCGAAGAGAGAAAATCGATAAAAACTATTTCTGATTTATAACTGTTTGTTTCCCATCATATGATAGATCCTGTTCAGTCCTTGATTTGAAAATCATACACATAAAATTACAATAACTTTTGTTTGTTTGTTATTAAGCACAAAGCAACACAATGGACTATCTGTGCTGTGCCCACCACGGGTATTGAAACCCAGTTTTTAGCGTTATAAACCTTCAGACTTACCGCTGAGTTACTTGGAGTTTAAAATACAATGCAGTATTTGTTGACATAAGTCTCTTCTGAATATCTTTTGTAAAGTGATTAGCCGTATAAGATTACTTCTTTTATATCTCAACACCAAAACTACGAGTTTTTTAAGACAAAAGCGCGAGGCCCAGTATCTACTTGGACCTGTAACTCAATATAAACAGATTTCACTGTTCATCAATAACCCTGAAGAAGAACTTATTGAAGGACCGAAACCAAACTTCTTGTAGAAGTGATCTGTAACTAATGTATGAGTGATTAGGTTGTCCTTTTCTCACCATAAGTAAAGTGTAATTATATAAGTGTTTGAAGAATATGCTACTAATTTGTTCTTCTGTGTTCTTCAGTGGACAATAGAAAGTCTTATGGATAGACTTATGGTTAAAAGAATGTGTCACAACTCTTTCTGAGAAAGAAACTGCGTACAACGAAAACTAAAATAACAGCAAATCCTTTTGGCAACATAACTTTAAAGTCTCCTAGTACAGTTGCAGAGAGATTTTGTACCTTTGGTCTTCGTAAACGTGGTCTTGGAAACCTATGTCCTCACTTCTGGGGATACTTTGTCAAGATCTTTGGGTAAGATTAGCCTCCCCAAGCTTCACAGAAGCTTGTTACGTTAGA